AAGGAAATAAGAGAAAAATGAATAGAAGTGAAGAGAAATAATGGTATAATGGAAAAAATGAAATTATGAAGTAGAAGAAGATGAAAAGAATAAAAGTAGAAAGTTGAGAATATAAAATGAAAGAAGATAAAAAGGAATAATTCAAAAAGAGATAATAAAAGATGAAAAGAATGATGAAATAAAGGATGTATTTTTTATTATATAAATTAGAAATATGAAATAAAAAAGCGTTTAATTTATTGATGTAAATTATTTAACATTATTTTATTGATATAATTTATTTTATTCATTTTTATTTTATGGTTTTTATTTATGTGTATTATTTATTCACTTATTTTGATTCCAATCTATAAATCTGTGAATGATTGAATAAATTTTTGAGAACATATCAATAAATTTATCATTTATTATTAATAAATGTGTGTTTAATCAAATTAATTTGAAAGATGATCAAAATGAAATTAAAGACATAATGAATGTTATTATTAATCATTATAATGACTATATTAACAATGATGTTATGAATGAAATACTTATTTTATCATCAAAATTATTATATTCACAAAATATTGAATCAATAATATTGTTTTGAATAAATTAAATGGTTTGTTAAGAAGAATTATAGAAAGGATGATGAATGTTTGTAAATCAATAAATTGGTATGAACAAGTAAAATTAAGAATTATACAAAAAGAAATGTTTGCATCAGAATTGATGGTTCCAAAAGAATTAGAATATGAAAAAAGAATTGAAATATTTAAGAATTATATTCACAATGATATTAAAATTCATGACCCCAACGTTAAAAATGATGTTATTAATATTCTTATGAAATTAATAATAATTTTATTTCTTCCTATTCATACAAAATCTACAAAAATAAATAAAAATAATATAAAAATTGTATTCTATTGTAATCATTCAGGAAAAACAAAAGAAACATGTAAATGAAGAGATTGTGAATATAAATTAATTGTAACATTAGGGTTTGATAAAGTAAATAGTGTATTAGAAATTAATGAACATAAACATCAATTAGATTATTTCTTTGTTGTATCAAAAACTTGTCCTTGTTAAAATCTGAGAAACTTTTAATTCCAAAAACTAATAATGAAATAATAAAATTTCTTGTAAATCATCCTCATATTCAAATTCAACTTAGAAAATTTAGACAAATTCAGAGAGAAGAAGATAGAAATCAAATATTTGAAAATATATTTCTTTCAGAATCATTTTTTGAAAATGATTCATTTATTAAATTAACAAATACTTTCACTAATTGTTATATTCATTCGATATTATTCATTCATAAGAAAGTGAATCAAATGGAATATAGTAAAAGAAAATTGTATGTTGATGATACTGCTAAAACAAATATATATAATAAAAATTTATATGTTGTTATTGTAAAAGATGATAATTCTTTTAACCAACTTCTTTCATTTGGATATTTATTTGATCAACCTGAAATTTCATATAAACTATTTTTTCATCAACTTTATAATATTTTAAATTATGGACATGAAATCATTGTTTGTGATCGTTGTATTGCTCAATATAATGCTTTGAAACAAATATTTCATTATTCTAAACTATTTTTCTGTAGAATTCATATAGAAAGATCATTGATAAAATATTTTAAGAGTGATCATATAATAATGAAATTATTTCATTTAACAATGAATATGAAATTAAATGAAAATGATTTAATTGAAACATGGAAAAGTATTATAATGAAAAATATTAAAAATATTAAAGAAGATAATGATGATGATGAAAATACTTGTTATGATGATAAAGAAAATAATGAAGAAGAAGAAAATGATGATGATCAGTTGTTTGAACCTGATACAAGTGATATTATAAATTCAATAGATGGTACTAATACATTACAAGATAATATTAAACAATTAATAGAAGAATTAAATTGAATAAATATTAATAAAGGATTGATGTATTTAATTGATTTAATTCAACACAAAGAAAATTGGATTCCTTCTGAATGTATTAAATATGGAATGTATCGAGATTTTACAACAAATAGAGTAGAAGGATTCTTTGGTTATTTTAAAAAAAAATAATTAATCATAGTAATCTTCCTTTATATTTATTAACAGACAATATTTATGCAATTGGAAATACAATGTTTAATAATATAATTGGGATTGATCTTCCTGATGAAATTATAGATAAAAATGATCTTCATTTTAAATTATTGAATGAATTTTCAAAGAAAATCTTAAAATCACAATATAATTTATTAAATAATAAAGTATTATGTGATGAGATTCAATATTGTATTAGTTGTCAAATAAGAAGTGTTAATCCTAAAGTAGCATGGTATTGTTATCATTTGATGAAAGAAAGAAAAAATATGTCATTAAAATATCTTATTAATTATGATGACCTTCCATCATTTGTTTTTAAATCAAAACAAACTATAATAAATTGGACTGATAAATCTATTTCTAATATTGAATTACCAAAGAGTTATAGTTTGATAGGAAATGTAGTTGTAAATAAAATGAAACATAATACAAATGTACATCAAATGAATAAAGTTGAATTTAGGAAAAGAAAATCAAAAGAAGTATTTTTTAATGAAATTGCACCATTTCAAATGAAGAAGTATGTAATTAGTGAAAGAAGTAAAAATGATGAAGATAAAATAATTAATGATGATAATGAAATTATTGAAGAAGATAATGTTGAAGAAAGAATGTCATCAATTCATTCACATAATTCTATCATTAAAATATCTCAAAATGAAACATATATTAATGAAATACATGAATATGATAGTATATTAACAGAAGATGAATTTGAAAAGATAATGAAAACATTTAATGTTCCACAAAAATGTATGTTATGTGGAATATCAAAGAATAATAATATATATCAATTACAATATAATATTAAAGAAATAGAAACAATTATATTCCCATTTTCATCAAAAAATAAATATTGATTAATAGCATATGTTAATAAAATTAATATAATAAGAAAAGAATGTGTAGTACATATTAAATATGGAAATGATAAATATCCAGTGTTTATGAGAGGAATGAATAAACAAATAATGAAAGTATTAGAATTAACAAATGAACCAATAATTTATTCTATAAAAATTGATGAATGCATTGGATAATTAAAACATAATGGTTATATAACACTTTTCTTAATAGAATCTTTCTTAATGAAAAGAAAAGAAGATGATATAAAAAGATAATCAAAGAATCTGAGAGAATATATTTCAATAGAAAAAATGATAAAA